AAAGATTCAAGATAAACCGGGTTTAAGTATGGCTTATATAGAACATGATTTTGTTAAACAATGGGTAAACTCCGTTGAATAACCAGCTCTACGTTGCCATATGTGTATTCAAGACTAACTCGTCACTTTTATTTTGGACAATGAATTGGGAGTGTCCATAGAATTTTTTGTTCTAAAAAAGAAAGAAAACACGGCAGGAAGACGACGAGATATTCTGGGGGATATGGGACGAAAATGTCAAAGTTTGGTCGTTGATCTCAACTTTTAAGAGTTTTTTTTTTTCGGTATCCTATAATATCTATATAAATGAAAGCTTAACGGGTAATTTGATATCATATCATATTGCAGTTTTTATGTACAGATTTATGTACAGATTTTATGTACACCATTCCTTATTACCTTCTGCTTTTTATGCACTTTACCCTAAAGTACGTGAGATCCATCATTACAATACACGATCTGCAGCTAAACAGTCATATTACCTTCCCAAAGCTAGAACTAATCATAGAAAATTTAATATTAGATTTCAAGGACCAAAGATCAGGAACTCAATTGATGATAACATTAAAGCTGTTTCTCTTTCTCACTTTAAATCAAAGTTAAAACAACATTATCTTTCGCTGTACTAATATTGGCAATTATCTTGTATTTTGTAACTTCCATCCTACTTTTTTCGCTCTTCTTACTGTCATACGTTCTAGTGTATATGTGTATATCTGTGTGTTTATGTGTATACAGTCTGATATGCTGCCATATTGTACCCCGCACAATAAACTTATTTAAATTATCTTACTGAATCTGACTTCTTGGCATTTTTAACTTATTAGTTTAGTTTTTTCAGGAAGTCAGTACCACTTTTAGTTAATTGATTAATTTAACAACTTGTAAATAACTATAATATTCTGCTTTGGGTACAATAAATTTTTGTTGTTGTTGTTTTGTCGGGTTGTTTGTTGTAGTTGAGCATCCTACAAAAGTGCGTGGTTAGATGGTTGTCAAGAGTTAGGCGGGAGATTGAAGGCATTCAGAAACGGATAATATTTTGAATGAAAAAATGATACAGTCGAACCTCCCGTAAGCGAAAACCCAAAATCCGAAGATTTAGTGGTCGCGGCGCACAGCAGGTGGTGGTGATTCCGAGTAGAAATCCCAACACATCTACCTTCCGGAAGAAAACTGGACTTAGGGCAAAATGACGGCTTAGGGGAGGGGTAGGTGGGCAGTTTCCCAGAAACTCAAACTGACCCAGAAAACTTATCGCATGCATTTCGTAAGTTACACAGTGCTTAGTTCCAGGTTGATAATACAGTGGAAACCCACCTTACGGCAACCTCTGTAATACTGTCACCTCTTTATTTCGGCCACTTTTTTTTCGGCCTGGCAAAACGGCCTTACATTTTCATATGAAAAACCATTGTTAATGCAGTCACCCGTTAATGCGGCCAACGCCCACATTTTAAAATGCCAAACAGTAGAATCTTTCGAAATTAAGTTAGCTGGGCCTGATATTTCCATGATCTTGTATTGCTTTTAGACTACAGTACACCTAAAATCCATTTGTGGCGGTTTAATAGCCGATATTTAAAAGTGTTTTTTTTACTTCGTACTAAAGGAAAGTTTCAAGTGGTTTTTACAATTACTGCTACGCGAAACTAATTTCCTGTTGTTTCTGGGGACGAGAATGATTACAGCTCTTAAGTCATGAAATTTATCCCTGCCCTGGTAATACGGCCACATTTTTATGACCGGTTGGTGATCGTATTAACGCGGTTCCACTGTAAAAGTTCTGCTCATATTCTGAGTGGTGTAGTACTTACAGCTAAAATTGAGATCTAACCATGGGTCGCCAAAAAAACGTCACCCCGAAAAGTAGTCCCAGTCGCTCACTAGAGGTGGTCGTTTACGAGAGGTTCCAGCTATAGAGCTTTGACTGGAAAAAAAGAAACATGGATATTCGACTGTAGCTGTTAACAGGCTTTAAAAGCGTTTCAACGTTGTGTCGCAACTGATTTGTTTTAAAGATTACCAATTATTCATCGAATGTTTCCCTACAGTTTGAGGCAACAGAGGAAGCATCTGCTGCAGATGCTTTGCCTTACGGCACAACCACAAAAATTTGCTTTTATCTCACGAGTTGATAATTTTAAAACAATTGGCTTGTACGTCAGTGGATGTGTTCGAAGCAAGCGGAAGTTTGCAGAACAGGAAAGCCAGTGCGGCGATCATATAACAAGACGCACATAAACAACCTGGAGAAACTCCATGCAGGGGCTGGACGAATTGTGTATGGGTTGCCATGGGACACTGCGAACTTGATGGGACGGTTTGGAAACAACGAACAACGAACAAGGAAAATAGGGCTAACGCCCTGAAAGAATTTAAACACTGTCTTGCAAAATTTGATACTGATAATATGAATTTCGAACCTATTTTAGCTACAACTAAAAACAGAGATTTCGGTAACAAATATTTTTAACAGTTTTGATTTTTAATTGTACATTTGTACAACCTATTTTAACTACAACTAAAAACAGAGATGTCGGTTACAAATATTTTTAACAGTTTTTAATTTTTCATTGGTCCTTTGCTTTCAGTACTTCTTATTTTTCTTGTAATTGTTGTACGCTCGACCCCACCAGCAATGCTGATCTTCTTATCGTGCTTAAATAAAGTTCTCATCTATCTATTAGTCAAAACAAGGTAACATTGTACTGTAGTCAGAATAACATTTTGTCTGAGGCAATACAGTAAGAGACAAATCAGGTAGCCAAAAACTATATCATGAACTGAGCAGAAAGTATTCGTGGTACAGAATCACTTAGCTATGTAGCACCCCGTTCAATCGACCATTTTTAAAAGGTATCGCTTATTTTCTTAAACTTTACTAAAGAGCATTTAGATTCTTCTTCAATTTAGGATTTGTGGCCTTTTTGAGAATTAATCTCTTTTAACAAGACAGGTTATAGAAGCGTCCTTCATATCGTGTCAGTGTCACATCACTGGACACCTCCCCTCTTCCTTGTTTTTAATCGGACAGTCAGACTTTCTGAAAACAGCTAACATAATTTACTGTACTCCCGTGGGCGGAGTGTGGGGGTACTCTCTATAATGGCCTATACAGGGAGGCTCTGCCCGAAAGGGGTAACTTTTTCGGGCCTCAGGTATATGAAAGGGTAGGGACAGCATCTAAACTGCTCAGGCATCGATTCAGCGCCGGCTGTGTCGGCTAATTTTTGCAATTTTGACTTTCAGCTCGATTTTTCCGGTCAAATTGCGATACGAAGACAGTTAATTTCGTTTTAAAATTGTGTTACCTGTTATTCGAATGAAAATACAGTCAATTTTTCTAATTTCTACGTTACGTTTATTGCAAAAATTGTCACACAATTAAGCTCAAGCTTGGAAGTCTTTTTGGTTAGTGCTTATAGTTGCAGCTACAGTTTTCCCTCGAAGTATTTACCATAATTTTAAGAGCAAGTAGACAGATGCTATTCAGAATAACAACAAAAAACGTTTTGCAATTTACCTAAAGACGGAGAACGATTGATTTAGTGAAAAAAAAATTAAAGGCTAGTTTTTGAAAGGCATGATTTGGCTACGCGCGGGCAAATTATAGGATACATCCACTCGTCTTCAGTACGGAGGCAAATGGAAATGTTTTCTCTTTTGATTATTATGCTATAAAAGAAATGGTAAACGTTGCAGCTGTGCAACCATCGAGTTATGGATGCACTTGGGAGGTTTGCTAAGCACTCAAGAAGCTAGAGTTGCACTCGCTTCTTACGCTTTTTTCGTGCTTACCAACCTCCCGCGAGCATCCATAACTCGATGGTTGCACGCTGCACGTTTACCATTTCTTAATTGTGAAAAGTATCGGTTAAAGAAAACAAACTACAGTCGGGTCCAGAAAACTCGAACCATCTNTCGCTTCTTACGCTTTTTTCGTGCTTACCAACCTCCCGCGAGCATCCATAACTCGATGGTTGCACGCTGCACGTTTACCATTTCTTAATTGTGAAAAGTATCGGTTAAAGAAAACAAACTACAGTCGGGTCCAGAAAACTCGAACCATCTAGGGGAAATCGAACAAAAATCGAGTTATCGGCAGCTCGGAACAAAAAAACTGGAAAAAAGGAAAAAAGCAAATGGATGGGAAAGGAATGAAAGTATCATGTACACTTTGTTCAAGGGCAGCAAGAGGTATATTGATAGCGGCGCCTCCGCGCGCGCAGAGGAGCACCATGGGTAATAAAATTTGGTAAACTATCTATCCGAGAAAATTTGGTTATGACGTCACCGTACGTCCATCCGTACATACGACCGTAGGGACTTTCCAGGTAGTGGCAAGTAGAAACGAATTCCTCCCTTCTTCCCTTGAGAGTTTTGTCCCCTATTGTTTCAAAAGCCTTTAAAAATGATTGACAAATCAGAATCTGTCAACTGACCAAATGTTTGGTGGATTTTAGGGGCCGACCATTTGACTTTTGAGGGGGTTATAGGTGATTTCAGAAAAAAAATGTCCTGCAGGCTGATTTCGGGAGGGAAAAAGCATGCAAATAAATTCCTGGGAAAAAACATCCTGCCCTGAAAAAAATATCGCTCATGACGTATAATGCTGAAAAAAAATCTTACACCGTTATATCTCGGGGAATAAGTTTCTAACTCCAGAGAGGTTTAGGAAAAAATTCTCAAACTAAATCAGTAAAATCGCCCATACCCCAGTTCCCTACAAACGTCCAATGGTCATGTCAACCATTTAGGGGGTGAGGGAAGAAACGGATTTGACACTTAAGTGAATGTCATCAATCAACAAAATAGCTGGCGCGCGTTCATCATGTGGTGGTTTTCAAGACTAAAGTTTTGCATTTCAAGATTGAAAATACGCCGATAAAAGACACAATTTGAAAGAGAAGGTTCAAAAGAATGCTCAGTTTTTTTTTTGTGGACAAACGAAAGCTTTTCGCTATGATATTGCCTTTCGAGGAATTCAACCTTATTTTCTACGGATCGGAGGGCTTGGCTTGTTTTGAACCAACAAGGGAGCGAGGTTTCTGAAGACACTTAAGGTACATTCCGTACTCTATGATCAAAGAAAAGTACGTTTTTAAAAGGGAATTTTTCTATTTTAAGGGTTTCATGGACGGTTTTCTAAAGTTTTGACATCGGCGTGAAAGAAAAACCACAAAATGTGCGTTTCAAATTGATTTTTTGCCATGTGCTCTACCGATGTAACTTGGGTGAACGCAACGATTTAACTTGCCTTACGCGAATTGCTTTTTGGATTAACTTATGGGTTTTTGAATAAAAATTTTCAAGAAATTAAGTTATTTATCTGTCATTGTTCATTTATAACATTATCTCAATAAACGACCAGGAGACTACAGATCGTGAGATTTTTAGAAACATTCAGACGGGCCCTTTCTTGAATTAAAACTGAAGTGTTGTTTTTCACATGTTCCGCATTGAATTGCTATTCATTTTCCCATTCACTACTTGCTATTCAAGAATTTTGCAGTGTGTAGAATTCAAGAATTTCTGCAGTTTTGCAGTGTGCAGCGTGCTGCTCTTTTTCTATAACTTGTGCCCTGATTACAGCTGAATACCGCTTGCATTAAGTTCACTGCGTTTGTTTTCAGTTGTTTGCAATTGTTTACGGCTTTATATTCTCACTGAAAATGTGAGCTTATGTAAAAAATGAAAGAGTTCTCCTCTATTCTAAAATGGACAGACTCGTCGGCTTTTCGAGCTCGAGTTTGTCTTTTTTTTTTCTTAATGAAAAAAGTTGTAAGCTGCTGTATTAAGTTTATATTTGTAGTGAAAGATTGGATTATAGTTATTAGTAGCGAAAAAGGTTATAGTTTGCTTTCTATGTCTGTCCTCAGAGAAAATATTATAGACCTTACGGTAAAATTTTCTTTCAGATATTGTGAGGTATAAATGTAAAGGCTACACATAACTGTTCGTCCGGGCCCGTTTAAAAAAAAAAAGAAAAGAAAAGAAAATGTAATATGCTTACGGGAAGACAAAAGTCCTTGAAGTCGGCCTGATTTTCCTTTTAGGTCTTCCCTCAAACACAGACACACCGACCCTAGAAATCGTAACCTGTAAATTGCTGCTACTAAGAGACACAATTTAACAATTTTTTCAATTCAGGTTTGTTTGCGGGATATTTTTTCCTAATCATTTAGCCCCTTCCTCTAAAGGTGTCTGATGCCGAAGGCTCTTGGGGATATGAAGATTTCTTTTTTTTGGCTTAGAGTTCATGTTATTACTTTAGTGTGATTGCTTTTATCATAAGTATAGAAACGGAGGCTTCGCTTTTAGCCCTGGCTAAATCTATATATTATTTTCAAAAAGGACTGAAAAAAGCAACAAAGCCGTGATTTATACACAGGGCCGGGCTAACAAAAACGTAAAGACAAAGAACACACGCTTCGTCTGAAACAAATTCAATGTTTTGGCCTGCAGATCATTTGTTGTTTCTTTTCGACTGATTGTAAAGCGCTTAAAACATGGTTCGAGTTGTCGAGGGTAATAATTATAAACTGAGAAATGATCTGAAAGGAAACAAAAATTTACTTCGAGTTAGCGGGAGGTTCTATTTCGCGGGAAGTTCGAGTCAAGCCGGGGATACAATTACAGTAAACGTATAATGTAGGAAATCCAAGGGAAATTAACCTGAAAGCAGAGGTTTCTCTCTCGCATGGCTTTTAGCGTTAACGAAATCGTTTGCGTGGCTTGTCAGTCGCGTAGTTGGTTTATTTTGTATGCCCCAGGAGGTCAGGGTAAGGGGAAATCGATTTGGCTCGAGTTAGCCCGACGGTTTGGGTAATCGTGCGTCGACCGTATCCTGCTTTCATCAGGGGCACCCAACGAGAATATAGTTCAAAACCACTTAAACTGAGTATTGTTAAACGTATTTTAGTAGTGAAACGGTAGATAAAGGCATATTTTTATCCCCTAAAATTTTTCACCTATTCGGATTTCCTAGCTGAAAGTCTAGTGATCCGAAAATTATAGGGATCAAAACTTACCCTTTCGAAAATTTCAGCCAGAAAAAAGGCTCCCGAAAATTCTAGGTGACCTTTTTAGGGTAAAAATCCGTTAAAAATGGGCAATTATACTATTTTTTCGAAGTTCGAAAATCCTAGGAGAGGCAGGCAAGCAAGAAATTTTACAACAAATGTTCCGAAATTTCTAAATCTCAAATCGTCTGCCGAACAGATATTTTCCGAAAATTGACGTTGGGTGCCCCTGTTTCATGAAGTGGAGAACCTTCAAATTCAAGGGATAAACTTGGCCTCTTTGAAAGTTCTTCTGTCTAAACAGGTGTAGTGATTCAGCTGTTTCCTCGGGAGCCCTTACCACACGAAATTAAAGGGACATTTTATTGTACATTATTACCAAAAAAATTAGAACAATGTGGCCCATGGTGGTTTGCTATAAAACCGCCATTTATACGTAAATCCTCCACTTTTTCCCTCAAGGGGTTTTTTTAAAAGCAAGTTTGGGAAGGAGACAGAGGAAGAACAGACTGGCGTTTTGTTCCTCCATGTTGAGACTGAAAAACTGATTTCATTTGTTGTTGTCTAGCAAGGAGTTTTAGGTGATATTCATTCAAAATATTTCGCCGATTCTGATTAGCTTCAATTCCCCGGCTAATTCTTCAGAACCAATGGGCGATTACCATATTTGGAAGATGTGAGCAATATACAATCGATTCGATGGTATATTTTATTGGAAACGAGGCTGATCGATGATATATTAGATCGGAAACGAGGCTGCTTGGGCAATAGTGAACTAAACAATGGCATTCACGGCTATTCGAAGACGAAAAAGCTGAACTTCTAACTTAAACTAAATGGAAGAAATGCAAGAATGCGCAAACCATTTTGCTTGATGGATCTTATACACTTTGAGGAGTATCTGCAAGATAAAACATCTGTTTATATCCTGAAAGCGTGCCGAGAAATAGGCCAAAGTTTTGAAGAAAGTTTACGAAGAGGTAAGCATGTTAAGAACTTACAAATACTTTGAATGAATAATAAAACAATTATTGAATTCGGCTGTCGTACGATGTGAAGAATTAGGCAGATCTCGGTGGATAACATCGTCCTCGATCTGCATAATTCTTCACATCCTACTCAGCCTCAGTTAATGAATTGTTAAATAGACAGAGGAGCAAAGTGTTCGAGATATTTTGTGATGAATAATTTGCTTAGAGGGGCTCTGTCACGACATTCATCAAATTTCAAACAGTAGGAGCAGCCACCAAATTGAGTGATTACATAATAATAACAGCTAAAAACATAAAAAGGTATATTAACAAGACAGCAAATGCAAAACGACTGGGAAGCCCGGATGGACAAACTTGAAGAAGATAAAAACGGATTGAAAATTGTGATTATCTTAAAAACTTGTTAGCCTAACAGGTTTTGAAAGTTCATTTTTGCTGTCTACAACGTTTGATTTACCGCTTGGAAGACAACTTGGTGTGATATGGAGCTGTGCCGGATTTTACAATTTGCCGGAAATTTCGTCGCCAACGTTAAGTTGCATTCCTAAGGACATGTGATGTAAGCAAATTGAACTAGACAACCGTACCACAGCCTCTTTAAAGCGGCTGTGTCGTGGCTGTTCCAATATGGAACTTAACGCTAGCAAAGAAGCTACTCGTAAATGACAAAATTACAGCTTCTTGACCAATAAATACGTCTTCTAAGTGTTAAGTCAAATAAAAATCTCGTCCCCGTCCTCGAATTCAAAGATCATTAGTATCTTGTACATTGATGTGAAGTATATATGAAATAATTCATTTTTGAATTGATTTTTTTTTTCAGGCCTCTTCTTTCCAATTGCTTAAATTGGAAAATTTACTGCGATGATCACTTTTCACTTTCATCTTGTACGTTAACACAACACGATGACCCCGGCAGGTCTCGAAGCCCGATCAATCGATCCGGAGTCCAAGTGAAATAACCAGACAAGAGTGAGGCCGGCATCCGGGATGCCGATCATCCGGGCTTTGCAACAAATGTAGTTTTACTTTACATTGTGGTAAGGAGATCACAACAACGGCCGAAGAGGTCTAAAAAGGAACTGGGATAACGATGCAGTCTTGCAAGACCGAATCAAGACCGAATTAACTTCCACTTTGTGAAAATTACTAGCCACTGCTATATACATTCAAGCTTTTCAATCTCGGCTTAATTATCCCTAAAAAAAGGGTGGTTACCTTAATTTGTAAATGGAGCTAGGTTGATTGTACCTCTTTTAGCGACCCTCAAATTTGGAGGGAAGTTCAATAAATCTTACGCGGCGGTTTCAAAAGTTTTGCTATACTCTCGAGAAGAAAACAAAAGCCTTTTTTGACCTTCCGGATCAGGAATAACTGAAACTCAGGGGTCCGTAGCCCTTGTGGAGTGCCACTGTTATCGTATACTTCACGAACCGGGAAAAAATATTTCGTATTAGAAGGCAAGGGGCGCTAAATGATGCAGATGAGTAAACACTAACTTTTTTGCTTATAATTCTCCTTAATATATTTAATTTCTACGATTTCTGAAACAGTACTGCATTATTGACCTTTCTTCAATACTTATTCTTTTGTTGTATCACGAGTTTCTGCCGTGAGTAGTTTATCAGGAGAGAATGTGGCACACACAACGTATCAATTTTCCGCGATTTTAGACCTAAGACATTTGATGCACCAACATGCAACTCAACTAGTTTTACAAGGATGTTAAAAAAAAATCCACCTCTGAATGTTTGATCAGATGAGTTGGAAGCCTGTAGTCCGCCACGACTCTAAATTGTAAATCAGAGAATTTTAACAATGTGTGTGAGGTTTCGCGCCAAAATAACTTATCCCAATTCGAAAGCAACTTAACAATTTTGCAGCGCTCTGTGTAGCGCTGCATGAGCGACGAACAGGGGATGTGAGCAAGTATGAGTTTGGCATCTATTTCCGAAGCACCTTAAGTCGTGGAGATAAGGTAAGGATAACACAATTAAACGCACTTACCATTGGAAAACTCTGCGTGTAGTTGTCGGAATTTAATTATATTGCTAAGGCCTACTGAAGATGTAATTAGGAATCAAACTAAGAAAGCAGGAACAGAAAGGAACCAACGCGAAAGGGAAGTCTGGCCATGAAGGCAGGTGTTTAATATAAAATGGGGTAAGTTACCACAAATTCAGGTAGAAAAATCCATTCATCTTACGCAAGTAAAAAATGAAGGTATATCAAATAACCGTGCGACGTATCTGAAACAATGTTATATATTATCTTGATTTTTTGAGTCGAAAAAAATTGTATAAAAAGCTTGCCTTGTAACTTCCTTGTTTTCGGGAAACCAAACACCTACACAGTGTTAAAAGAAATTCCCACCGAGGGAAAAATGTGATTAAAAGAAGCAACTTCCTTTCCTGTCTACAACACAATCCGTCAAGAATTCGCTTTGAAGTTTGAAAAAGGCCCTAAGGCATTTTGCGAATATAAAAACCGGACGGGATAGTTGCTTCCGAGACTGCTGGCGTAGCTAAGCTAAGCTGTGATGAGCTTCAATTTAACTAAGCCAGCACGGTCTGTAAAAAAAACGTCGACGTTGCGTGCCCATCGGTATACCGCAAAAGGTGAAACAGCTGTACAGAGTAGCTGCATTTCCTCGAACAAGACAAGTGATAAGCGTGGTTGTTTCAAATTTCATATTTTTCTTCTTCGCCTTAATAAATCAAGACGAATTCTGAATTGCAGTTGGTACTAAGTTCAGACCCAACCTGGATGGAATTATTTTCAGTTTTAGATTTTGTTTCGTAACTGTGATTCAATTTTTTTACGACACTAGGGAACGGTTACTCGGTTACTTCAATTGAGGTATTTATTGTTATGGCTGGGAATTAACTACGGTTATGACTAATAAACGTAACACCATTTATGAATACCCACGTGGTACGAGCATGCAATTACTCAGTCAGTCTATCCCACGCTGTGATAGAACAGTGACCGAGATGGCACGTGCCGTAGAAGTAACTTCCTTCGTTCGGCGCTAAGCAACCTTCCAACTAGCGGGGGAGGTGGTTGGGAAGACGAGTTTGAAAATATAGGGCGGAATATGATATCATGTGAAAAGAAAACTGTAAGAAGCCTCCACAATATTGTTGTAGTCTAGCCTTTGGCGACAAAACTGGAAGAGAATCTATAGCATGTTGTTCAACGCTTCTCAAAAAATGAACGGGTTCACCTTCAGATAACTGAGGCTACAAACAGTGACAATGCGCATTATAAAATGTGTGGTTGCTATCCACTTTGGTTCAGGCATCAGTTTTGTGGGTCAGAAAGGTTATCTTTTCATTATATAAGCCCACCGGCTATATAAGTCTTTATTTGATCCCCTTAGTCTAAATTTGGATTCTGCGGGTGAAGACAGTGAAAATTTACATTTGCCACACTGTGGTACTATCGTTAATATTGAACAGGCAGATGGTTGACATTCAAATAAATCAGAGGATATAAAAGTATATGTAACCATCTTGTGCGATTATGCTGAAAATGACAAAAGTTCTTGCGTGGAATCTGAACACTTAGCTTTAATATTTATATAAAAGCCAGTAAGCAACAATCTTCAATTCACTTCTATCTAGCCTTCTCTTAGTTTTATATACCCTCCACAAAACAACCTGTTAACAGGCTGTTGAATCTACCGAGTTCATCTATGTCTTCCAATGAGTTCACTGCACTTTTTCTTTAACTCAAACAACTCAAGCCAAAACTCAGTCAAACTGTTTGAGCGCATCCAGCAATTTGAAGGGGCTATTACACAGTGTGTTCCACGTTTTTTTTTTTGTTTTTTTTCTTTTGACATACTTGGCTGGAACTCTTAATGAAAGATATATCGAATGGTTCTATAAAAAAGGAAAACATTGATCGCTTTATGGGCATTTTTCGACTCCACAGAAGTTTAACTTGAAAAAGCAAAATTGACCCATTTTTTTCAAGCTGCGATCCGTTTTCATCCTGGCCAGCGAAAACCAGCCAATGAGATGCACTGAATTACAGTTGAAGCATAGTAGGAGAGTAATAGACCATGTCACGGTTTTCGACGCCATCTTGACGAGTAGGCCAACGCGTGAGAAATTAGAGTGTTTGCATGAGAATCAAATTTTGAATAATTTCCGTAGAACGGCTGTTCTGAAAAAATATGATTTGTAGACTGAAGCTTCAGTCCAAAGGATTCTACTGAAAAAATCTGAGGGCGTTACATGCACTAGAAGACCGAGAACCACTTTTTAAATTTCCTATACATTTGTCAGTAAGAAAGTCCCAGGAAAATTACAGACAAATATATGGAAAATCTAAAACAAGCCTCTGGAGAAATTTAAGCACATGTACGCCCCCAAAATGTTTTAGGACAATCCTTTTCTTTGTAGCTTTAGTTTACGATTGATATTTTTTTCAGAACAGCCATTTTACGGAAATTATTCGACATTAGATTCTCATACAAACACTGTAATTTCTCACCGTTTAACTACTCGTCAAGATGGCGTCGAAAAACGTGACAAGGTCTATTTTAAACTGACTGAAACAGATTTAGTATTATTTGATTCCAATGAGGTTTTATTATTTTAAAGACATGGCTCCTGTAAGCTCAATCTTTTGTAACTTCCGCTGCGATCCGCTGCTAGTCGGCGAATCGGTTCGTTGAAAACAGGCCACCTCCCAGCAGCTTCGTGAAACATCCAGTGACTTCGTAAGATTTTTTCTTTGCATAAGATGCCAACGCCGAGATCCCATCGGTTTTGAACGAACTGATTCGAAGACTTGCAGCGGAAGTTACTTGCAAAAATTGAGCTTAAATTGATTGTTTACGCCAAAAAAAAATTTCATTAGTCTTGGCTTGAGTTGTACGAGTAAAAAAAATACTTAATTTGGAAGCGAAGCAGGACATCTACCGCAGAACAGGAAACAAAGAAGCGCAGCGATATAATCAACAAGAGAAGCGGACCGTTGTATGTGTAAGGAAACAATTACTTCCGCTGTTAGCTCTTGCATTGTTTCTTCGCAAAGTGAAATTAAATTGTGGCTTAACAGCCTTGATTAACCTTACCTCCACAAAGTCTGTTAAGTCAATTCCTCCCGTTCTGTCGTTTTCGTTTCAATACTACTTAATGCTCTTTATTCTTAAAAATTTGAGTTTTAACTGAGGTCATCTGGGCCTCCCACATACACGTGTTTCATGCCTGTGACAGAAGACGGCGGACGCTAAAAGCGTCGATGAGTCGAAACAAGGAAGCGACTGAGAGAGTATATTTACTTTACTTTTAAGTTCCTTGTAGCTCAGCGGTGATTTCCATGCAAGTATAAGTAGGTTCATGTGTGTTGCTATAATTGTAAACACACATAAACCCATAGAGATAACAATCTGATTGTTGTGTAGTCGACAGTGACTTCTCAGTTTCTCACTTAAGATAAACACTCAGCATTATTTTAAAAAGAGGAAAGGGAATTTTTCACGACAAAAAAGACGAGAAAGAATATCATTACCGGAACATACTAATTCTCGAAACACTTCCTCGATCAAAACTTATCAACCAAACTGTTTCAGGATTTTCAGATTATGACACAAAATTTGATCCAAGGGAAATGTCGCTGGCAAGATGAACTGACGTAATTGCTCTTAAACTCCAGGGATGGACCGATCGGTTCAAGATCACCATTATTATAAAAAATAACAGTACGTCATTTAATTTCTTTTAAGCCCGGCAAAAACTTTTTTGTTCATGGCTTGAGTTCTTGTAATGATCTCAAAATAAGCGAAAAGTAACTGTTAACACACATATACGGGCGATTTCTCAAAGCCGATAAAGATGTTAGTTCCGATTTAAGTATTCACTCAAAATTTCCTACAATTTAAGCTAAGTACTAGCCCTTGCAACAAAAATAATACATGGGTTTTGAGAAAACAACATTAAAAGAATTCCGAAAAAAATTTGTTAGAATTCCATTAAAAGGATCAACATCGCTGGTGTTCTCGAAGGAAATTACGGCCGAAAAAACCAGATGAACAATAATCTGTAACAGTTTTAGAGAACAATCTTCCTTGTCATCCGTGGACAAACACACTGTTTTTCTACTCAACTAGCTCTAGAAGAGAAATTTCAGAGCTGTATCATGATGTTTGGCTTTATCATCAAAGTAAAAATCATCAGCGTCCTTTGGACTTCTGACACTCCAAGAATTATTTATTGAGCCATATTTACTTTTCATAAATTTTGAGTCCAATAATGTGAACCACTTTGGCAGTGCTTTCAGCTAGTGCCTTTGCTTTTTCAGTATCGTCCAAAACGAAAGTTTGGATTGTAGTCTTCAATTATGAATAGTTTTGATCGAACTGGAAGAACAAAGGGTCAAAGCACTTCTAAAAATAGGCGGAATACTCTTTAAGCGCCGTTTTAGGTTTAAGCGCGGATGTTGTAGCAACAAAAATGTACTAAATAAACGCCAACCCCTTTCCATCTTAACAAAACAGCCGGAAGAAATGCATGGAGAACTGGAAGGTTAAAGAATTCCAATCTGGGACTATTCTAAGCCGCCAAGTTGAGAAGTCACACAATTAATCTTACGAAGTCTAAACGTGCGAAGAGTTTTTGAAACAAAGTACACCAAAACTGACAAAAATAGTCGTTTCCAAACGGTTTAAAATTACAAAAGAAAAGTAAATTATAACTAAAACTTTTTTTAAAAAAATTTCCTCAACTTTACCTGGTCAAACTCTACACAAAATTTAACGTAAGTTGTTCTTTTCTTTAAGAAATGTGCAAAAATTTTACCCAATTAATTTTAAACGGCAGGTGCTGTCCGATACCCCAGGGGTTATGCAGCCCTGAGGACACCCCTATAACGGCCTACATGGAGAAGGCTCCGCCAGAAAGGGGTACCTTTTTGGTCTGTAAAATGACCTAAAAGGGCTACAGAAGTATTTTACGGGTGTAAAAAGTGAGTCGAGAAACGTTTCTGGTTTTGTGTTTTATTCATATTTAAAAGACAGTGAATTTATAGCAGTTAAAAAGGATGTAAAGTTTTAAACTAGGTTTGTGTAAGGAGTACCATTTGGCAATGGAAGGTAAACGATAGGGGTTTCTTTACTGTCAATGCTATATAAGAGGGTAGGGGTTGGACCACGGGGCCGAGACTCCCCGTATAAAACCTTGTTGCGTACCACTCCCCAGGGATTTGGGCAACCCGTCGGACTAGCATGTTTAATTATGAATTGGTATTTGCCGAGATAATGTAAATGTTAGGGAAAGGGGGGGTTGATAGGCATGTAAGAGTGTGCGGGCAAGTAAATTTCAGCAAGAGCTTGCCGTCAACGGGCCAGGCAAGGGATTTTTAAATTTTCCATTCACCTTGATTACGGAAAAAGCTCGGTAGAAGGACGGAAGATTTGTACGACTTCTAGTGCATTGTTCCACTCTCTGAAAACAATGTAACTAAAACTTTGGCTGGGTTATGTGGGCAACCGCTAGCTCTACATAAGCTTCCTTAATTACTTCAATAATTCTTTAATATCGTTTAGACGCACTCAACATGTACTATTGAACTAGTCCTTCAGATGTAAAGCTTTATCGTGGTTTTAGCTTTCAAGGAATAGATATGAAAGGATTTTCAGAGCACTCACCTGATAACTTTCTGCAGCAAGCGTAGTGCAATCGAGCCCTCACACGTAGAAACGAACCATGCTTCAGGTCTGAAAAATAAAAACATAGAGACCTTCAGTCAAGATATTTTAATTCTCTCAATGTTAAGAAAATGGAAAGCAAAGAATAAATACCATCAACCAGTGAAGAATTTCAATGAACCGTTTCAGAATCGAGTAGGGGCAAAAATGGCTTCGACTGTCTGGAGACCGATAAGATGTGCAACGCCAAGCTTGGGTAATAAGGGCAGTCCTCATCGATATGGCGCCTTTTAAGGGTTATTCGCCCTGGTTATTCGGTGCACGGAAAATTAGCAAACCACTTGCCCTTAAAAATAACTTGTTTGTGGATATTTACGGATTTCCTATCATTTGCACTTAATTCTTCAAGTGCTTTGACATAGTTCTATAACAAGTCGTTCCGTAATAAATGTTTGTCCCAATTAAGCCAACCTTACGAAGTAAACTTATGTATTAAAATTTTCTTGTTCTGAAGATCACTTTTCACACTGAAAGTCACTGCGAACGAAAAAAATATTGAATCCATATGCAGACAGGTTGTTTGAAGCAAAAGCACTTTGATTTTGATAGACCAAAGTCCAGGCTAAAATCCTACAATTCATTGCATTTGAATGAAGATATCTCGGCCGACGTCTATATTCAATTTTTCGCACAGAAACCATTGTTTGAAAGCTGACTTAGACGAACATTTCTTCAACGTATCAAAGTATCCTCCATGGGCCAAAATTTGGTTTATAGAGACAACATATCTGGTACTTCGTGACTCGCGACTCATCATGCGCCTATTTTGAAGGCTAACCTTCTCATTCGAAAAATGCCACTTTTGGTAAACCAACGTGACAACTAGGTAAACACCCTGGGCGTGATAGAGTTTCACAAACCTTTCTAAATTTCTATGCCACAAAAACGACTTTCCATCCAGCAGGTTGGCTACTAGCCACTCTTACCGATGTGATAAAAATTGAGATCAGGATGGAGTCGAGTCAGCACAGCTTCGAACGTGACCCGGAAATAAAAAAGGTATCTTGTTTTCGGAAGAGAAGTTGAAGTGTTTCAAAAGGCTCACAGAAGGGGGAAATTAGGGGCAGATATAGTGTGAACTATACTAGTTTTAATATAAACCGAAAGGATAAATATTACAGTGGGCACAATTAAAATAAGAGGAAGAAGGAGAAAAACGGCCACGTACGTTGTGCTCTCCAGTTATAAATACAAACCACCTGATAGAAAGTGGTTTACTTAAGTGAAAAATTAAACATGCCACATTAAGATGGAATCCACTAGCAAATTGAGAAATTTTAATTTTCAGTGGACAAAAACCTTGTATACCAGAATTATTTAAAGAATATTGTATTCTTTTTTACATTTTTCAAGGACTAAAGATGTAATTAGTCGTCTGTAAGAACACCAAAGACAATTTCCCATGGAAGTCTAAGAAAATGAATGTCAAATTTCACAAGAATTGTGAAAACACAGGTAAAATTCTGAAAATTTCATGTGTAAGGTGTAATTTTGTGAAATTTGACATTCGTTTTCTCGGGCTCCCACAAGAAATTTTCTTTGGTGTTACTACAGATGACTCATAACATCTTTAGCCCTTGAAAAAATGTAACAAAGAATGCAATATGCTTTAAATTATTCTGGTACAAGGTTTTTGTCAACTGAAAATTAAAATTACTCAATTTCCGATGGATTGCGTCTTCGGGAGTTGAAGATGCCAATAGAACCTTGAATTATGAAACAAGGGGTCAGATTTTGGGGAAGAATTTGAAATCTCTGCTTCTGATTGGCCAGAACTTGTGTTCTAGCCAATCAGATGCAGGGATTTCTGATCTTACTCGGTGCGAGTAATTGGCCGTTTTTATACTAAGGTCTGGACGAACTTGGGCAAACATTTTGTAGTTCGTCTGGTTATGCGTCTCTAGTATAAAGATGGGCACAAGACGCATTATGCGTCCAAACGAACTACCGTTCGTAGCGCGTCGTTCTGACTCGTTATTTCGAAGGAAAGTTCGTCCAGACGCATAATACGTATGCCCGTCTTTATACTTGAGACGCATAACCATGAGAACAACAAATGTTTGCCCAAGTTTGTCCAGACGGATAATGCGTCCTTAGCATAAAAACGGCCATTCTTGAACTGCACTTTTACCGCCAGAGTGATGACGATCATGTCAAATGAAACCTCCTTGACTGCAGATGTCATTTTGTGAAGTTTGACATTTATTTTCTCGGGCTCCCATAAGAAATTTTCTTTGGTGTTATTACAGATGACTAATTACATCTATAGCCCTTAAAAAATGTTAAAAAGAATGCAATATTCCTCAAATTATTCTAGTAAAAGGTTTTTGTCCACTTAAAATTAAAACTACTCAATTTCCTGTTGGATTCCGTCTTAAAATTTCTCTTCCGAAAACAAGACACCTTTTTGATTTTCCGGGTCACGTTGGAAGCTGGGCTGACTCGACTAAATCTTGATCTACGATTCTTTTATCTCACCGGTAAGAGTAGCTAGATCTTAGACTAGCTAGCCAACATCCTGGCTGGAAATTCGTTTTTGTGGCATGGAAAGGTTTGTGTAACTCTATCACACCCAGGGTGTTTACTAAGTTATCATGTCAACATCCATGCTGTATTTAACGAAAAGTGACATTTTTCGAATGGCAGTTTAGCCTACAAAATAGCCGCATAGTTAAGTCGCGAGTCGAGAAATACCTGAGATGTTGTCTCTATAAACCAAATTTTGGCCCATAGAGAATACTCTGACACATTGAAGAAATGTTCATCAAAGTCAGCTTTCAACCAATGGTCTTTGTACGAAAAATTTGGACATAGACGTCGGTCGGGATTTCTTCATTCAAATGCAATGAATTGTAGGATTTTAGCCTAGACTTTGGTCTATCAAAATCAAAGTGGCAGTGCTTTTGCTTCAAACAACCTGTCTGCATATGGAAAACAGCCGCGTATCTTGTCCTTCCAGTTAAAGATAATTACGCCACAAATAAAATATTTAAGGCTTTCCCTCATAGATGTCGGTTTTATTTTCCGCGCCGGGGCTTAAAAAATAAAAATATCACGTCCATACGATGTTCTGCCAAGCCGACCCCGTGTAAGATGAAAGCGGAAAATTTTATGAATGGAAAATTGTTCCAATATAGGTAAAGAGGGTTTAACTCTGCTAAGTTCAGATAATGACAGAAGAATTGTCTGATAGGGAAAAGCGCCAACTTGAACCTAAACTTTCAAACTTGAGACAGGAGAAAATTTTGAGTTTTTGGACTGAAACTGAAAAGCGTTTCATGTTTTTCATCGTTTAGATTAAGAGGCTAGTTTCTAAAAAACTGTGATCCTGTGCAAGTTGGGGAAGTTTAACCGAATTGACCCGGCACCAAAACAGGAATTGGAAGCAGTTGTTCTTCTGAGTGCTAGCCCAAACGATGGCTTCGATTTTAGTGCATCAGGATATTCTAAAACCAGGAATGAGCAATGAAAATTACAATACGCATCAACAAACGACGATAGGTTCAATTTTAAAGCAAGAGTCTGAGAGCAACTTCCTCAAAACCAGGAATAGGCTTAATATAACAAAAAAAGAAACTATGAAAACAAGACCTCCTGGCTGAAATTTTACCAAATGAGGACGGTAACTGATACGTAGACCCTCTGAGTTATTATATAATGCGAGTAATCTTACTGTACATCCGCAGCATACTTTGTGGTTTAATTTTATTCTTGGTTTAAATTTTATCTCCGATATTCTCATACATTATCAAACCCAAAGACAAAGGAAAAAAGAATTAAAACCAAGCAATGAATTTGATCCATTACAAATTCAACCATTTTTTATCCTGAGCTTAAACAACGGGTATTGGCCACGCAATGAATTATAATAAAGCATGAAAATTGTAATTAGAAAATACTTTGGTTGACCTCTAATTTCCTGCATGAATTTATTTAAATGTGCTTTTCTTGCTGATTGCTGCGAACAGGTTACTTTGTCATTAAATCTTGTATATTAACATTGAAATGCTAGTACAGTGGACTGGAAGCTCTCCTTTGGGACATTTCTATTCAAGGGACACCTCCATTCAGGGGACACAAAATTTGCACCTGGAAAAATGTTCACATAATCTTTGTATTTGTTACCTCTATTGAAGGGACACTTCTATTCTGGGGAAAGGGACACTTTTTGTGGGTCCCAAAACCCAAATTCAACCTCCATTCAGGGGACATTGTGGCACTCAAAATGTGACTGACCACAAAAATTGTTGAAAAGTTTAAGTGTTCAAAACTCACAATGGCCACAGCTTTCAAAACATGAACTATCTCACTTAAAAACAATGTACTGCACTTGTTGGAATTCAACAAACAACATTGCAGAGATAAGTTAATCATGATTTTTTAAACATTATTTAATTGACTAAAATAATGACCGCATCAGATTCCGAGGTAAAATAAAAGAAAAACACAGCCGGATCTCCAATAGTGGCCACCTCTCTAAAATGGCCACTCTTTTGGCGGGCAGTCCATACATTGACCCTTGTTTAAACCTATCTACAATGCCACTTCTCTTCAACTGACACTTTCTTCTGTCCCTAAGGTGGCAATTGAAGAAAAGTTCAATTGTATTAATTTATTTGTTGGTTAATAATTTTTATTAACAAATCCCAGCCCAATTTCCATTCGGGGGACACCTCTATTCTGGGAACACTTGCCTCGGTCCCGTGGGTGTCCCCTGAATAGAGGTTCCACTGTACCTATTTAAAGGAGCTTACAATATATGTTAGGCTATTTGCTATCTTTTTAAAAGCTGAAACATGTCTTTGCGTCACTAGAATTCCAAAAATAATGGCCCAGTGTTTTGATATTGCTATTTAAGACTATATAAAGGCATTGACACCATTTCCAGTTGTCTTTTGCTAGGGCTTGAAAGGACAGACATGGATTAAAACATGAAAAAATTTGGCAAACTTTCTTAACTTTTAATGCTATACCTGCAAAAACCACCAAAACATTTTATGGTTAAGTGCATTATGATGATATTTGTTTGATATCCTCTTAATAACTCTACAGGGGCATTTTTTGTATGGGTAAAGGCTTGAAGTAATGACTTCAACACAGAATTGACCTAACACGGCAATATCCTGTTGACGGCCCCTAAAGCCATTGCATAATATGTAAGTAGCACAGAGAAAGAAAGAAAATTTGAAATCCCAAACCACTCAGCAAAACCTTTGAATCATTAGGTGGCACTATCCTTAGTAAAAGACAACAGATTTTCAAGCAGAACAATCACAAATTGTGTGAGCTCTTCATATGTTGGTCCAACATTACTGAACACAGGATGCTCAGAAGTGCAATATTGACCAATACTGTTGGGAAAATAAAATTTTAACAGCCAACAATATTGAAACATTCACAGGTTGCCTGGCCATAACAACAAGGTCAGATACCTTGTACTTTCTCCCCAGTGTAGATTACCTTTGTGCTCTAGTTGCAAGAATGCAGATATGAAGAGTAGATTGGAGACTTTAATCTGTTTAATCTGAAAAACAACAAGCAAATTTCACAAGTCAATATTGATCAGTTGTCACGCTTCCTAAGTTAGCTTTGTTATGCAAAACTTTATAAGTTGATATTAATAAATGTGAGGTAATCTCTTCTTGGTAGGCGGCAGGACTAGCTCAGTTGGTTGACTGCAGAACAGGGAGTCATGGGTTTGATTCCCCGGGCCAGACAAACAGTCAGGGTTTTAAAATAACTGGAGGATTGAATTTGCTGAATTACAACAACCCTTGTATCTCATTAAGTGACAAAAGGGTAATAGAGAAAGGTTCACAGGGAATGATCAAACCAGGCTTTGCCGAGGGCACTTTTTAGCTACCAAAGAACTGTTTTTATAAATCCAACTTAGCCAGTCTGAGATCCCAAAGTAGTCTGATGACACCTCAGAATCTTTCCACCAATATTGAATTTTAGCAAGTTTGTCACCCAAAAGTCACACAGAAATTAGTAGCAGCATTCAGTACAGGGTGTTTTACCAGGTTACCTTTTTCCCCTCTCTTTCTCTAGCTTTTAGCTCTTTTAAGCTCAAACTACATAGGAAAAGGAAATGCTTTCTAGTCCAAGATGGAAACAGCACTCGATAGAAATATACAGGAAAATATCTGGATACCTTTGAAATCATCATGCCAGCATATATTAATAATTTGAACTTCACTTTGTAATAAGCAGCATGCAAAGAAAGTTGTGTCTAGTAGCAAGGGGCTAGTGGATTTCGCAATCGGGCAATTGAATCCTGTTCTTANCACTTTTACCGCCAGAGTGATGACGATCATGTCAAATGAAACCTCCTTGACTGCAGATGTCATTTTGTGAAGTTTGACATTTATTTTCTCGGGCTCCCATAAGAAATTTTCTTTGGTGTTATTACAGATGACTAATTACATCTATAGCCCTTAAAAAATGTTAAAAAGAATGCAATATTCCTCAAATTATTCTAGTAAAAGGTTTTTGTCCACTTAAAATTAAAACTACTCAATTTCCTGTTGGATTCCGTCTTAAAATTTCTCTTCCGAAAACAAGACACCTTTTTGATTTTCCGGGTCACGTTGGAAGCTGGGCTGACTCGACTAAATCTTGATCTACGATTCTTTTATCTCACCGGTAAGAGTAGCTAGATCTTAGACTAGCTAGCCAACATCCTGGCTGGAAATTCGTTTTTGTGGCATGGAAAGGTTTGTGTAACTCTATCACACCCAGGGTGTTTACTAAGTTATCATGTCAACATCCATGCTGTATTTAACGAAAAGTGACATTTTTCGAATGGCAGTTTAGCCTACAAAATAGCCGCATAGTTAAGTCGCGAGTCGAGAAATACCTGAGATGTTGTCTCTATAAACCAAATTTTGGCCCATAGAGAATACTCTGACACATTGAAGAAATGTTCATCAAAGTCAGCTTTCAACCAATGGTCTTTGTACGAAAAATTTGGACATAGACGTCGGTCGGGATTTCTTCATTCAAATGCAATGAATTGTAGGATTTTAGCCTAGACTTTGGTCTATCAAAATCAAAGTGGCAGTGCTTTTGCTTCAAACAACCTGTCTGCATATGGAAAACAGCCGCGTATCTTGTCCTTCCAGTTAAAGATAATTACGCCACAAATAAAATATTTAAGGCTTTCCCTCATAGATGTCGGTTTTATTTTCCGCGCCGGGGCTTAAAAAATAAAAATATCACGTCCATACGATGTTCTGCCAAGCCGACCCCGTGTAAGATGAAAGCGGAAAATTTTATGAATGGAAAATTGTTCCAATATAGGTAAAGAGGGTTTAACTCTGCTAAGTTCAGATAATGACAGAAGAATTGTCTGATAGGGAAAAGCGCCAACTTGAACCTAAACTTTCAAACTTGAGACAGGAGAAAATTTTGAGTTTTTGGACTGAAACTGAAAAGCGTTTCATGTTTTTCATCGTTTAGATTAAGAGGCTAGTTTCTAAAAAACTGTGATCCTGTGCAAGTTGGGGAAGTTTAACCGAATTGACCCGGCACCAAAACAGGAATTGGAAGCAGTTGTTCTTCTGAGTGCTAGCCCAAACGATGGCTTCGATTTTAGTGCATCAGGATATTCTAAAACCAGGAATGAGCAATGAAAATTACAATACGCATCAACAAACGACGATAGGTTCAATTTTAAAGCAAGAGTCTGAGAGCAACTTCCTCAAAACCAGGAATAGGCTTAATATAACAAAAAAAGAAACTATGAAAACAAGACCTCCTGGCTGAAATTTTACCAAATGAGGACGGTAACTGATACGTAGACCCTCTGAGTTATTATATAATGCGAGTAATCTTACTGTACATCCGCAGCATACTTTGTGGTTTAATTTTATTCTTGGTTTAAATTTTATCTCCGATATTCTCATACATTATCAAACCCAAAGACAAAGGAAAAAAGAATTAAAACCAAGCAATGAATTTGATCCATTACAAATTCAACCATTTTTTATCCTGAGCTTAAACAACGGGTATTGGCCACGCAATGAATTATAATAAAGCATGAAAATTGTAATTAGAAAATACTTTGGTTGACCTCTAATTTCCTGCATGAATTTATTTAAATGTGCTTTTCTTGCTGATTGCTGCGAACAGGTTACTTTGTCATTAAATCTTGTATATTAACATTGAAATGCTAGTACAGTGGACTGGAAGCTCTCCTTTGGGACATTTCTATTCAAGGGACACCTCCATTCAGGGGACACAAAATTTGCACCTGGAAAAATGTTCACATAATCTTTGTATTTGTTACCTCTATTGAAGGGACACTTCTATTCTGGGGAAAGGGACACTTTTTGTGGGTCCCAAAACCCAAATTCAACCTCCATTCAGGGGACATTGTGGCACTCAAAATGTGACTGACCACAAAAATTGTTGAAAAGTTTAAGTGTTCAAAACTCACAATGGCCACAGCTTTCAAAACATGAACTATCTCACTTAAAAACAATGTACTGCACTTGTTGGAATTCAACAAACAACATTGCAGAGATAAGTTAATCATGATTTTTTAAACATTATTTAATTGACTAAAATAATGACCGCATCAGATTCCGAGGTAAAATAAAAGAAAAACACAGCCGGATCTCCAATAGTGGCCACCTCTCTAAAATGGCCACTCTTTTGGCGGGCAGTCCATACATTGACCCTTGTTTAAACCTATCTACAATGCCACTTCTCTTCAACTGACACTTTCTTCTGTCCCTAAGGTGGCAATTGAAGAAAAGTTCAATTGTATTAATTTATTTGTTGGTTAATAATTTTTATTAACAAATCCCAGCCCAATTTCCATTCGGGGGACACCTCTATTCTGGGAACACTTGCCTCGGTCCCGTGGGTGTCCCCTGAATAGAGGTTCCACTGTACCTATTTAAAGGAGCTTACAATATATGTTAGGCTATTTGCTATCTTTTTAAAAGCTGAAACATGTCTTTGCGTCACTAGAATTCCAAAAATAATGGCCCAGTGTTTTGATATTGCTATTTAAGACTATATAAAGGCATTGACACCATTTCCAGTTGTCTTTTGCTAGGGCTTGAAAGGACAGACATGGATTAAAACATGAAAAAATTTGGCAAACTTTCTTAACTTTTAATGCTATACCTGCAAAAACCACCAAAACATTTTATGGTTAAGTGCATTATGATGATATTTGTTTGATATCCTCTTAATAACTCTACAGGGGCATTTTTTGTATGGGTAAAGGCTTGAAGTAATGACTTCAACACAGAATTGACCTAACACGGCAATATCCTGTTGACGGCCCCTAAAGCCATTGCATAATATGTAAGTAGCACAGAGAAAGAAAGAAAATTTGAAATCCCAAACCACTCAGCAAAACCTTTGAATCATTAGGTGGCACTATCCTTAGTAAAAGACAACAGATTTTCAAGCAGAACAATCACAAATTGTGTGAGCTCTTCATATGTTGGTCCAACATTACTGAACACAGGATGCTCAGAAGTGCAATATTGACCAATACTGTTGGGAAAATAAAATTTTAACAGCCAACAATATTGAAACATTCACAGGTTGCCTGGCCATAACAACAAGGTCAGATACCTTGTACTTTCTCCCCAGTGTAGATTACCTTTGTGCTCTAGTTGCAAGAATGCAGATATGAAGAGTAGATTGGAGACTTTAATCTGTTTAATCTGAAAAACAACAAGCAAATTTCACAAGTCAATATTGATCAGTTGTCACGCTTCCTAAGTTAGCTTTGTTATGCAAAACTTTATAAGTTGATATTAATAAATGTGAGGTAATCTCTTCTTGGTAGGCGGCAGGACTAGCTCAGTTGGTTGACTGCAGAACAGGGAGTCATGGGTTTGATTCCCCGGGCCAGACAAACAGTCAGGGTTTTAAAATAACTGGAGGATTGAATTTGCTGAATTACAACAACCCTTGTATCTCATTAAGTGACAAAAGGGTAATAGAGAAAGGTTCACAGGGAATGATCAAACCAGGCTTTGCCGAGGGCACTTTTTAGCTACCAAAGAACTGTTTTTATAAATCCAACTTAGCCAGTCTGAGATCCCAAAGTAGTCTGATGACACCTCAGAATCTTTCCACCAATATTGAATTTTAGCAAGTTTGTCACCCAAAAGTCACACAGAAATTAGTAGCAGCATTCAGTACAGGGTGTTTTACCAGGTTACCTTTTTCCCCTCTCTTTCTCTAGCTTTTAGCTCTTTTAAGCTCAAACTACATAAGAAAAGGAAATGCTTTCTAGTCCAAGATGGAAACAGCACTCGATAGAAATATACAGGAAAATATCTGGATACCTTTGAAATCATCATGCCAGCATATTATATTAATTATTTGAACTCCACTTTGTAATAAGCAGCATGCAAAGAAAGTTGTGTCTAGTAGCAAGGGGCTAGTGGATTTCGCAATCGGACAATTGAATCCTGTTCTTAACTTGCCCGAAGGGCAAGTGAAGTTTTTGGGGAAATTCAAATTACAGAAGAACTAATCAATGCTGCACATCAAAATTTCTTAGGGGCTACTTAAAAGACTCTTGGGCTTAGTAGTACATACTAGTGACAACTTGCCTAAATCAGGCAAGCAGTAAAACCAACTTTCTTTGCACCCTGAATGAGGCCGTTACCCACCAACAAATGAATACTAGCTATATCATCTTTGGATGAGTAACATTGTTTTGTTTGTGTAAAGGTTTTTGTTGGGCCATTGCAAAGCCAGACACATCAAATCTGATCAAGCTAGGCTAACCTAAGCTCTATAAAGTACTTCAAAATCTCTTGCCCCTGAGTTATTAGGTAAATGCCATTTTATACTTAATATCTAATCACATTCAGTGTTGCAAAATTGTTGCAAAGGGATATACAGTAAAACTTGTTAAAACCATGCAAGCATCATTTTGTTAAATCACTGTGTCGGCATGGCTCATGGTAGTTAACACTATATACATGTATCCAAGATCAACAAATCAATGAACTGCACAATAATTTATATAATTGGGCCTCCTGAATGAATGGCCTCCTGAATCACCTTTTGTTACCTATTATCAGTTCAATAATTATTAAAATAAAAAGATGCAGTTATGAAACATTTCTACCTTGACAGTATTCTTTCCAGTCAATCAGTAACTGTCTTTCTCTGAAACTGTAAAAAGACAAATTTTAAATCTGGGTGAAAAAATCAAAATACTTACTGAATACAGTGCCCTTGCTTGTCCACAGCCAACCCTGAATATGACACAGCAAGCGACAGCTACGCTATAATTTAAGGTGGGGTAAAACTGCACTTCAGACCAATGGGGCTTATCTTGATTATTTTGCTACGAAGCATCTTTTTTGTTAGTCAGATTATTATCTGTTAACATGCAGCTTGGGTTCACGCTTTTAAAATTGAACTTTCGTGAGATCTGAGTAAAGATTTTCTAATTATCATGCAATCATGTCAGATGGCTGCTTACTAGAAAAACAAAGCAAAACAGAATGTCAATTTTCTGGCCAATGGCCATAGTTACCAAAGAAATTTGAGTTAGGGTTGCTTACGAGAGAGTTTTTGAAAAAGTGGTGGTGGTTGCTTACACATGTACCAGAAGTAGTTGCTATAAGAGAGTTGAACATACTATGTCTTATTGACTTAAGGAGTATTTGGAGCTATTCACTATTTTATCAGTGAGTTCTTATAAAGAAGCTACAAAACAGTCTTTAATAGAACAGTGAAAGCTACATTAGGTCAGTCATGACCTTAATTCAGACTCTTGCTGGTGTTGACCTTTTTTTTTTTTTTGGACAAAACAAAAAAAAGAGAACTAAAAGCTACATCAGTAAACAATAATATACACTTATACACAAAAAACCTATTAAAAATAGCCACTATTCATTAAATTATTTAATAACACTTCTTGGAGAAAGCACTGTATTTGTTATGCATCAAGGCTATACATTTTTCGGTTTCTGTTTTCACCTGTAAAAGGGTCAGGAAGTCTGAAAACTGGATTTCAAGTTATATGCTAATTAGATTTTTATTGTTGAGGGTTAAGCAAGAAGAACGGTCGTTTCAATGTTCCTTTTTTGCAAAGAGTTAGAGTTAGCTTGGAAAATGACTGATTCCATTAAGTGTACTCAGATCAGAAGGAAACTGTGTGTCTAGTGTCTGCTTAAATGCAGGTTCATTATACAGCAAATGTGTGAAGAAAAGTCTGGGACTTACTGATGCCTTATACCTCCAAAACATTCAAGTCAAATGCGTGAGATTTTCATCTTGTCATGACCTGAGTTTCCAAAAACATCCCAGAATTTTCTGTATATTTTTGATTTTCCAAAGACTTCTGAAAGCTTCTGAAAATGTCTGAAGTTGTTCTTACAACCTTTGAGCACTTTCAAAGCTTTTTCAAAGGCAGCTGACTAAAGGACCAGGAACACATTAGGGATACAATACAGGAAGTTTTAGAGAACCAACAAATTGCAGATACATGTGTTTACAATAATTGTAAACGCATGTAAATAGAAAAAGAATAATTTATGAATTTATCTATATTTAAGTTAAATTTCAGTATCATAACACCTTTAAATTAAGCATTAAAACAAAACTTTTCTGTGGGTGGAAATCAATTTACAGTTAGAAGAAGATGGCAAGTGCCTCTGCATGAAATTATCAATTTATCTGAATTCAACCATGAGTGAAAAAAAGAGCACATTCATTAAGAGTGGGTGGATTTTATAAATACTTTATCTGAAAAGAAATGATAGTGAATTATTTTTCATCAAACATACCAGCCAAATGGGAGAAAAGAAATTTGAAGTTTAAAATGTACATAAAATGAATGAGGACTAACTTAATTTACAGCTGATGCTAAAGTAAATTAATATTTTAGGTTTAAATTATGGCCTTTTTTACTTAAAAGTTATAATACATTTGAACCTCTCCAAAACAGCCACCTTGGGGAGAGAAGACTGTGTCCATTGTAAGGAGGTTTAAACAAGAGTCAATGTACTGAGTTTGATTGTCCCGGTGAAGGTAGTCCTGAATAGGAATGTTGTTGTTGACAGTGACTGACATTTCAACAACCTGTGTGGTAGTCACCTTCGGAGTCAAAAAGAAGACTACAGCACAGGTTGTCGAAATGTCAGTCACTGTCAACAACAACAATCCTATTCAGGACTACGTTCACCTGGACGATCAAACTCAACCTACTTTTGAAATAACTCCTGCATTCAAACCTTTCACAAGAGTCAATGTACTGTCCCTCAGGTGGCTGTTTGGAGAGGTGGCCATTAGTGCAAATTCAACTGTAGCAATATAGCTAATAACACTTAATGATAATATGCCTCATTAAATTAAGTCATTTTCGGTCAAAACGTCCATAACAGCTTAAAGCTATTCAGTGACATTACCATGATAAAACAAATGCTAACATTACAATGACAGACAGGAAAAAAGATTCAACCAGTACTAGCCTTGAAAATCTTTTTGGAGAGAAGAGCATTTACAAAGTGACTAAAACTGGAGCAAGCTTAAGGTAACTGGGAACCTTATAGCTTTTGCTACCATCAAAATTGCTTTACCAACAGGAACAACTAGAACTGGGGTCAGATATGCCCCAACATAACTAAATCACTATGTGTCAGCAGTGGCAGAGCAGAGAAAAAGTTCCAGTTGTCTGTGAGGACTAGATTCTTTCAAATGGGCAAGTAGCATGCTTGTTTGCCAATGGACAAAGGCTGAGGAAGCTCTTTGTCTGAATACCTGAGTAGGGGAGGATACTTCCTGGTAATAGGTTAGTGGGGATGTACCACCGGATGGGGTTGTATTTCATGACTGGATTGACCAAGGCCGTGCTCTAGCAGAGCCCGGTGGCACGTAGCACCTAACCTTTTGTTCTCGGGTGACTAGAAAATCTTTGCTTTTTCATAGAAATCATATGCTGGGCACACTGGTCACTGGATTTCACAAGTTCAGAGCACTGGGCTCCCTTCAATTTTTCTTCGAGCACAGCCTTGTTGACCATTGGATTGGAATGACTGGATTGATTGCATTGGCTTGACTGGATGGACCATAATGAGGTTGCACATTTTCAGCATTTTAAAGTTTGTAAAATTCAGGTCGCAAGGGATTTAAAAATGGGAAGATTCTTACTTCATTAGGTTTAACAAATGTGTTAATTTATTTCAGGATGACCTAGTTAAAAGCCTTTATAAGGTAGTTGCATAAACAGAAAGTGGCTGTTAAAGTTAAGATAGTGTCAGAAAATTATATTTTCCCAAAAAGTGGCTAAGAAGGGGGCTTAATAATTGGCCACAGAATAATGGAGGAGGGGTTCTGAGAGGCCAGCAGCACATATCCAACACAAATTAACCCAAGTAATCCCCAGACTATGATCTCACTTGGCAAGGTGCCCGAAAACTTTACTCACTACTCACCGATGTGAGCACACCCCGTTTTAAAGTACACATGCCTGGATTTAAGCACACAGTCGCCAGGATTAAGGGACCAAGTCTCAAACTTGTACTTGGACACTGAAGTTGACACCTGGATCCCTGTGTGCACACAATGATTTCTTCACAGTAACACTCGCAAGATAAAAAAACTAGAAGAGGGTGTTAAAATTTGGCCTTTTCGGAGACGGCATAGAAAGCAAATGATTTGCATTTTTGTTACTAAAATTAAATCGAATAAGAAATAAAAATAATGAATATTTATCAATAAATATGTATTAAAGTACTATGTGGTTAAAATTTCAAAATTACTAAGCCAACCAGGAAGTCCTAAGCAATTGTCAAAAAGGCAATAATGTGACCAAAAGTTTTTAAAATATACAATCAATTTTTTTCGGATTTCCGCTGATCAAGTTTCATTCGGTACTCTACTTTCGTGTCCCGAATCTATGTGTCAGTTTGTGCCCTGAGACGATCAAATTTTTTTAGCTTTTTCAAGTTATTTCCGCATAGGTCAATGGTACGCCGTTTAATTGTAAATGTACTTAAATCTTCTGGCTTCGTTCGCTGCTCGAATCTCGACAAAAGTTTTGGCGCATTCGAATTCCTTTAGTAGTAACGCACGAGTAATGTTAAAGGTGAAGAAGTACTTACATGGAATGATTCGCTTTCTCGATGCAAAAATTTCCACGTTGCCCCGTCAGTGATCGTCCTTCGAAAACCACAACAATCCGTTCATGATTATTTCACTGACCTGTGTTTATGACATCGCCCGTACACTACATCTCATTCAAATTTGCCGGTCCTAAAGATTACAACCAGTCGAATTTCACCAAAGTGAGACGTCGCGTGATTTTTCCCACGAGAGTGAAAAACGGCAGAATTCTACTCTAAAGACATCGACGGTGCTGTAGAAAACACCCTCGTAAGCCTACAAGGCTTGTCTTTCAGTAAAATTCTATCATTGATTCTCATTCATGTGAACGACGAATATTTCGCGCCCACGCGGACTGCCCGTACTCCTACGCGCGCATATTATATCCCGGCATACATTACGGCCGATATCCTACGCAAAACTACACAGCGCTTATCGATATCACTCAAATGAAGATATTTTCTGTCAGGGACCGAAATGTACTTTATTTTGTTCTTATTGGACTTTTTCAGAGTTAAAAAAAGTAGTCAATTTTTTAAGTTGATTTGTTCCAAATTGATATAAGAAGTTTGGCTCTGCATATGCAAACAAGTAAAGTAACTCAATTTTCCCGCCAACACCGATTTTCATCTTCCTGCCAAGAGATATAAGATCAGATTGCTTTAATACTCGAACAATCAAATTGGCTTTTCCATCCTTTTATAAATTGCCGTTAGCAAATATGAAAAATCGGCCTTATCTGGTTGTTCTTTCTACCACTCACATCATCTATAGCCTTACTCGATATCTTTCAAATATGAAACATATTCTAATTCTCAGTGGCATACATATCCCACTCCAGTTGCTAACAAATGTCGAGGGATATGTTTTTACTCATTTCTCTTTTATTCTATTCAGTGTTCTTCTTTCATTTTTATATTTATTCTTACTCAAAATATTCTTTTACTATTCTGATATTTCTTCTTTTTCTTTGCATGTATTTCCTAAACAGGTAACGGTAAGCTTATAGGGAACTTATAATGAAGCTTTGCTAAAATTTTTCCAACCTTTACCGGAGCTCAGCCCTCGGCATGTCAGTAAGGAGAACAATCTTAATCAGTCTTTCAAGTTTGGTTACCCTCTCAACCTGAGCAACTATGATGCTGGCATATTTATTTATATGAAATCCATTTTGCCTACTTATACAAACTTGAAATTTCAGCTGAGGCGTCGTTGTTAGCTGTCCCACGCGTAGTTCAACTGAATAGCTTGATCCACCAAATCGATCGGCCCACCAATCCAGCTGTCCACATGAATCCCACATGGAGCCAGCCCTTTGCGCAGGCCAAGCACCTTAATAGAGAAAAGCTAGATGGTTTTCAATTTTTGCCCGTCGATCGATGTTTTAACTCGAGTTTGTACTCAACGAAAGTCCAAATGGTATAATTAATTTCATGTGGCCATTATTAACGAAATTGTGCACCGTCGAAACACCGCTTTTCTCTTGTGGAGTTCGGCGGAACCCACAACATGTTGCTAGCCATTCAGCTTCAATCAGAACTGCTCAAGGCATTTTTAACATATATTTTATGTGGGATTTTCAGAAACCCAGCTGATATAAGATTGATTAGTAGACAAAGAATTCCACCACGGAACGCAATATATTTCTTTAGATCCGTACAACATTCGTTTGAATGGTACTGATAATGACAACGATTCTCCGGTCCACCTGTAAGGCTCAATAGCTGACCAGCCACTGACAATCAAGTTTTAATTTTCTCTTTAATGAGACTTAAAACGAACTTAAACGTCTTTACTTTGCTTCTTTAGATAAAGTTGTTGTAATGAGTTATTTTGATAGCCTGAGCCATAACAGCATATTCTCCGCACATCATCATTGATTTCCGCGGATCCGTTGAACGGTACTGTCGCGGCGATGATCACTAAAACACGGTTTCCCATTTAGCCATTCATTTTCAGAATTCAGTCTCAAAACAGGCCGACAGCCATGTGGTTTTTGGCCTCGCATATATATATCATTTATTTTTCCGGAAGGCCTTAAAACATGAACAGTACCAATTCCTGTGAAAAACTTAACTATAAGACATAGATCACTTACATTTTCTTGTCCTATTTAGACTGTTGTCCCCAAGCCAGTTTCGTTTTTTATCTGTTGTTGTTGTTGTTTTTAGTGTATGATTAAGAAATGAAATCTTTCACACTGACGAGGATCGTGATGCCATTACCCATGAAATTTCAGAGCCTTTTTTCCAGTTTTTCATTATAGTGGAAATTCGGTGCCGTAAGGCGTTTCAAACAGCACGCGAGTCACATCTGCTATGAGATCAGGCGGGTACACTGAGTAAATGCATGCGCGCTGATATGTCATCGTTAAATCAAAAGACTGCAGGGTATCTCTAGTAAATACAAAGAATAATAAAGGGAGTTTTCTTTTCGTTGTTGGAAAAAGGAAGAGGGTAAAAACGTAAACATATTCAAACATATGAACAGCGGCAATCACAAGGAGATTTTGCTGCATGTAGTTGCGGCGAACTTGATGGTCGTTGTCTCACTTCAATTTTTAAAAGTCCCTTTCTCAACCTTCACCATCTCCCTCCACCCACTTCCAAATTTAATTTTTTCCAGTTGTGCCCGGTTATCATAACACCAAAATAGATATGATGACTAATTTCTTTAAGTGAAGTCATAAAGGAGCTTCGTTACGGCGCACATGCGAACGTGTTCTGTCTATCCGGTGGTGAAACACAAACACCTGTGATATTGACTTAGACTGTAATTATATTTATTAAGGTAGCAGTTTTCCAACTTATTTTTAAATCAGCTAAACGATCTTTTTTTGGAGGGAGTGGGATGGGGAGTAATTTTTCCAGTTGTTAATTACAATTCATAGAACATAACATTTTAGGGTTGTGCTAAATGAGACCTGAGCCTATGTAAGGCGAAATCTCTTCATTTTGTTACCCTTTTCAAGGCATTCAAGAGAAGACGATATGAATAAGTGATCATGCAGATGTGATCTTTTTTAAAAATAACTAAATAATGCATCCGGGATTATTAAGGAAATCCCAGGAAGAAATTTCGACCGTACACACTGAATTCCATGATTAACCCGTAACAGAATTTCTTTCCCTAAAAGTATGCCATCACTCGGACTCTATCCTTGATATCCTGCAAAGTGAGTTCAG